GCCATAGACGAACGTAAAGTGCTTTTGCCTTTTTTTTTTCACCATAGTTTTTGAGATTATGGGTTCAAATACTTTTCACCAAGTAACCGATTATTCTTCACCGTCTCTTCATCTGGGCCGTTTTCATATTTTTCAAGTCGGTTCTCGAGATTCTTCAACATCTCATCATCTATGATTCCTCCTCCATAGGGACGCCAACTTAACTGAAATAATTGAGAATTTACAACACATGAGCGGAGCCATACCACATTTCCATGTTAGAAAATTATTTTCGATTTTACACATACCTGTAAGAGACGATATTCCTTTACTATTGGTTTCCAGTAAAGTTCCTTTCCCTTCAAGGACCATATGCTAAACCCATTTGCAGGAGCGTTTCTTCTTCCTCTTGTTTTGTAATGTGGATGGGGTGTGGTGGTTGGGTTTTCGGTGGTTGGGTTTAACAAGACTCCCAAATCAAACCCATTCTTAAACCCTTTCTCCATCTCCGGAGTTATCGTATACGCGGTTGCAACATATCTATCTCGAGTAGAAAAAAAAAAACAAAATAGATAAGATAACACAATATATCATTCTTTCTGCAAAGTGAGTGTGACTAGGTGTATACAATAGTACCTTCCAGTTGGGTCCCACGCAACAACGGTGGCCTTGGGGTGTTCCCCTGTGTTCATAGTCTGAAGCTTCTCCACATCGAAAAACTCAAGCTCACCATTGAAGGAGCCTTTCAATCCATTGTAGAAACTGACATTTGGCATTGATTGTTGGCCGCCGTGAATCATGGCAAACCTTTGACCACTAGGCTCCCATGCGAAAGCATGGATCTTCTCGTTCACCTCAAGAACCTCGATGTGAATATCTCTCTCTTTGATGCAAGAAAGGATAACTACAGATCGATCAACTTTGACAGCAAGATACTCTCCATTGCTCTGCCAGTACGTCTTGCAATCAGCGGCGTTAACACCAGGAAGTTCCTTGTCCTTCAGCTCCACCATGCCAGGGATTTCCACAAGGGCGACTTTGGCTCCAGGCTCCTTGCCACACCCTTTCAAGAGTGCAAAGACGGATTCAGTAGGAGACCAACACATGTCCACCAACATTTTCAGCTAGTTGTACCTTGAATGACAAAAAAAAAATGTCAAACTTGAGTCCTAATGAGAAAGAAAATAAAACATCAAAATCAAATATGAGAAACAAACCTGACGGTGGGGATAGCGCTGGAGATAGGCACGGAAACATTGTCTTCTATAACTCGAAAGAACTGCACAATCTCCCTTAAGTGATAGAAAGTAGGAACCTTGGGGGGACCACTGAATATCATTGAAGACCAGATCATTCTACACACGAGAACATCATTAGCATTAAATTACACCATACTGAGAGTCACAAGTAAGAGAGGCTACTTACATATTCCGTAGAAATATGTTCGGACTTGTCAAGAGTTAGACCAATCCGAAGAAGCTGCATAGCTGAGCCATAACGGATGATTAACTGATTCAGCTCTTTCCAATCATCAGGAAGGAACTTTAAGAAGAAA